AGTTGACCAGGTAGTGAGTGCTTCTAGTGCTGCATCAGTTTGTTGAAAGATTTCAATTTTTATTCCGTCAATTACTGTAGCCTTGTTGTTTGCCAATGCCATTAGTGCACCTTGGATTTAATCCTTTAGTACCATTGGCTCTTGATCATATGCTACCTATTGAATTGGTTGAACATCAACCATTTCTTTTGGTACAGTGACTCTATGTATTCTTTCCATCTTCTTTTGATGCTTTCTGCATCATTCAATATTATTCTCATGTAATCCTTCAGTATTTCAAGTTGAAGCTTGAATTTTTTTTTCTTATTTCAGCTTGAGAAATGCTGAGCGTGTCGACACCTCCCTTTTTGGATTTCCTTTTATATTTCATTATCATATTTACTTTGTCTTCTCAAGCTGCTCTTTGAAATTTTCTGTTCAGCTCTTTTACCTTTTCATTTCTTCCATTTACCTTAGCATCTCCATGCTGGAGAGCAAGTTTCAGATCTCTTCTGACATCCATTTTGGTCGTTTCCTTCTTTCTTGTCTTCTTAATGACCTTTTGCTTTCTTCCTGTATGATCTTGTCATCCCGGAACTCTTCTGGTCTCCAGTCATTAGTGCATCAAGTCTGTTCTTGTGGGTTTGTTCAAATTCACGTGGGTTATGTTCAAGGTCATATTTTGGCTTTCATGGGCTTTTTAAAATTTTCTTCAGTTTCAGCCTGAACTTGCACATGAGCAATTGATGGTCTGTTCCAGAGTCTGTCCCTGGCCTTGTTTTGGCCGATGATAGGGAGCTTTTTCTACCGTCTCTACAGTCAATTTGATTTCTGTTTTCTCCATCTGGTGAGGTCCATGTGTACAATCTCTTATGTTGTTAAAAAAGGTATTTGCAATTAATAAGTCTTTGGTCTTGCAAAATCTATCGTATAGCTTAGTTTCTGCTATCAAGGTCATATTTTCCAACTAGTAATCCTTCCTATTTGATTAAAACCTTCACATTCCAATCACCAGTAATTATCAATACATCTTGATTGCATGTGTGATTGATTTCAGACCGAAGAAGTAGATATAGAATTTTTCAATTTCTTTATCATTAGTTTTAGTGGTGAGGAGTTCTGGTAACATAGTGGTTACGAGTAGGGCTGCTAACTTTAAGGTCATCAGTTCGAAACTGCTAGTTGTTTTGCGGGAGAAAGATGAGGCTTTCTGCTCCTGTAAAGATTGACAACCTTGGAAACCCTATGCAGGGTTGCTATGAGTCAGAAAACCACTAGAAAGTCACGGCAAACCACCACCAGCTTTAGTGGTTGGTGCATAAATTTGAATAATAGTGGTATGAACTGGTCTTACTTGTGAGCCCATGGATATTACCCTATCATAGACAGAATTATACTTCAAGATAGATCTTGAAATGTTCTTTTTCTTTTTTAAGTTTTTATTGTGAATTGAGTGAAAGTGTACAGGGCAGATCATAAGTTTTACATTCAAGAAATCATATACTTTGTTTCATTACAAAAATTATAATCCCCACCATGTACCATCGGTTAACAGTATTTCTCTCCATTCATTTTAGCTTTTATTTTTTTAAAAAAACACTCAGGCATATATAATAAGTTACACCACCAAAGGGCATATTCTGCAAGTCTGCCTCCTGGCTGCCAGCACACAGTCCCTCTCTTTCCATGAATCTAGAGTCCTCGGCTGCTCCCTCTCTCCATGTCCCCATCTCTGTCTCCATTTCTGGTGTTGCTGCTTCTCTGGATAAGGTCCTATATTCTGCTTGTGCTTTTCTCCCTTGATGGTCCTAGGGTCCTCTGTTTCTGGACTGTAAGATTAACTACTTCCCCATTTTTGTTATAAAAATTCTACCTTTACAATTGTGACAGTCACAATTAGTCATGATAACAAATACTATTGAATCGTAAGAATCTTATCCCCATCTCTTTTAACCAGATCCATCTAGACAAGATGAAAATTATTCAGTGGGAACTCTATCTTCCCTTTTAAACTAAACTCCCTCTTGAAACCTTGTAAGCCAGTCACTTCGTACCTTTGTCATCCACTCATTTTAGGTAGTTAATGTCTAAGTTGCCTGTCCTATCTACCCTGTATACAGAGGGAATAGCATTGATACTTGATGTGAAGACTCCTACCAGCCTGTCCTATCTACCCTATATACAGAGGGAATAGCATTGATACTTGATGTGATATTTTGAGCTACTACCTCTATAAGTATAGGTCAAATTCATCAAATTGTAGCAATTTACACTCATTTCCTTTATCAAAAATTGTTTTTCTTTTTTATCTTCCTCTAGTCGAGTTCTGATTATCAAACCATTGAGGCTAGGTCAAATGGGTACTGTCCACAAGTTTGGGTGTTCATGTGCATTTCCCCTCACTTCATATCAGCTGGATGATTCACTCTCAGCTATAACCCTCTGTGGCTATGTCCTTGTCCATGGGCTCAGATGTCCCCAGGTCTCACCACACTTTGGACCAACCAGCCCTTCCTCTTCTCTCTCTCATCTCCAGATCAATAGGAGTCTATGGAACATGGCTGAACTCAGCCCATTTCTTCATTGTTGCCTTTCCCCTTCTTCCACTCACCAGTATACCAATGTGGTCACCAGCAAGTTTGTATGCATGCTCATGTCTTCCCTGTGAGTTTCAGTTTTAGAGGGGGATTTGTCCTAAAGGGACTTGATTGCTAGCCTTGATGGCTTTTTGGAGAACAACTTGCTTATTCTTGTAGTAGCCAATCATACTGCCATTTTTGTTTCGGGTTTTTCATGCTGATCTTTCTTTGAAGATGTATCTACTGGTGCTCTAGCTGTTCCAGGCTGGTCTGCTTGTCCTTTCTAGTGGGAATGTCCCACCTCATGAGGTTCTGGATGAGACTCAGGATTCCACCTAAGGTCCTGTACTCTGTAAAGGCTCTGCAATAGGCCTATTTCACTGGACAAGTTGTAGAACCCCTTTTAAGTATTCCAGTCATTTATAGGCTGAAGATGGGCTTAACAAGCTTTCTGTAATCATGTTTCCCGACATTCCTTTCTATCCCATTCAAGTGTCTATTTTACAATAATAGGAAAGGAAAACCAGTATTCGTAAGACAATGAAGCATCTTAATGTTATTGAAATCTTCTTTTTGATGATGAATTGGTATATCACTCCTCTTCAATTTGTCATTCCTGGCATAGTAAGCCATAGTAAAATCAATATGTTGTAGTGAAGTGCCATTAAGTCTGTTCTGACTCACAGCACCACTGTAAATGATTTCTGAGGAGAGGCTGCTGAGCTTGAACTGCTGACCATACAGTTCAAACTGACCTTGCAGTCCTGCGCTTTAGTCCACAGCACCTCAGCTATGTATCGTAATACCAGCTGTTGACAAGTCAGCTCTGACTCATGGTGACCCCGTGTGTATCAGAATACAATTGCACTCTGTAGGCTTTTCAGTGTCTGGTTTTTCAGCAGTAGATTTTCAGGCCTCTGCGTGGTCTCAACCTGCCCACCTTTCAGTTAGCAGCAAAGCAGAATAACCATTTGTACTACCCAGGGATTCTGTAGTACATTTTATACCTATGTAAATACATTAGGAAAAGAGATTGTGCTTTATTCAGTAAATGACTTTTATTTACTTTGTGAGACTGTAATTGAACTGATCCACTTACACCTACTTGTTATTTAGTGCATATGCAGCCTTTTTAGTTACGTGTTTACTAGTAGGCATCTTTACTCACTTTTTCCAACATGTAAGGCAATCGGTTCAGATACTTGGGCTCGATTTCAATGTCAATAATTCTCTTTTTCCTTGCACCTCATCTTGGTGAGGATTTTTAATGGGTCTCTATCCATTTTTCTTAACCCTCCAGTGAGATGAAATTGGTGCTGGAAGCTTTGTTCTTCCACCAGACTGATGGTGGGTGAGGCTTATTGACAGTGTGGGGCTCTCACGAGAGCAGCCCTGGGTGGGCCCTTCATCACTGTGGAGAGGATTACATTTACACTCTGCCCATGTTGGGACGTGCCAGCATTTTAAGATTTTTCACCATTGACTGTGAATCTAATAAGCACTTATATATAGTTAGAATTGCTATTTGTAATTTAAAACTAGAGGGGCTTTCCACTATGTTTGGATAAAGGGCATGTTAACAGGTGGAAAAATAGACTGTTCCCTTTGATCTGGATGTATTTGGATAGATAAGTTCTCTTGAGGGAGGTGAGTCAAGTTAGAGGAATGTTTCTTTCTTTCTTTCTTTTTTTTTTTTTCTAGCTTTGCTTTTAATGGAATAACTGGCAGTGGTCAGATGGTGTGGGATGGGCGCTGATCTGTTTCCTTAAAAGGTTGGCTCAGTTGAATTTGTAATAAAAGTGGATTGGGGAACAAATTGTATAAAACCTGCCTTCATATTCCTAACAGCACAATTTTTGATGGCCTTTCTAAAGAACATCGCTTCTTAGATTGCTTTTCAGTATGATGGTTTATGTTCTTTTGAGAGGTTTGAACCTGTACTGTCATCTGGTTTATTGTTCTACTTGAGTCCAAGTCTTTTATTCTAGGAAATTCCAGAGTGGAATTTTTAATTTAGCTATACCCTCACTTCTTTCTGAGTTATGAATTGTTGACTGATTTAGACATGATTTTTCCCCTGGTGAAATTTGAAAACATATTACTGAGGGCAGAGATGTATTTTATTTTAGTGAGGAGTTCTCTTCTTGCTTTGAGTCTTGGGTTTTTCTCCCTGTTGGTTCTAAATAAGACTTTACTGGTTTAGTACTTACTCTAAAACAAGACTTTAGTACTTTCACTTCATTTAAAGCTAAGCAATCAATTCAAGCACATCAATAATTATCTTAGTTTGTAATTTTTCACCACTGCACAAAAACAAATGAGCCAGGAATACAAAGTAACAGTCTGCTTGTGAGCCCATCAAAACCACTGTCTCCTAGAAGTTGTTCTGTCTGTGAGAGTTGATTTACCATAAAATGTTTGTTTATTTCACATTGTTTCTAGGTGGGCTGGTGTTTGCAATCATGTGGAATACCCCTGCCGCTTCCAGAATGTTTATGCTACTACCCAGAACATCATTCCTCATCGGGTCTTCTCCCCATTGTGTCTTGGAGATGTATGCCAAGAGACCCTTCTGCAGCTGATCCCTCATTGCCTCTCAGCAGCACATTCTATCCTGGGAACACACCCCTTCTCCAGGCTGGATGTACTCATTGTCCCTGCCAACTTTCCAAGTCTGGGAATGGCCAGGTATGTTGTTCCAGTGTGGATTTGGAGATCCTGTTTTGATAATCCCTTGACTATTTCTTGCTGTCCCTGAGCTCTGTGTGAGTCATCATTTTATTAGGATTAAAGGGTCATGGTCATTCCTGCTTCAACATCTCTCTCATTGCTGCCTTCAGGAACGGTTTTCCCATAGGCTTCACCATGCATGAGTCCTTAGGTATCATGGGATCACATTATGCCCTCAGACTGATGTCTATTAGATCATGATTGATTGACTGGTTTGCTGAAGTGGTTAGAGCACGGTGCCAATGAGCCCAAGGTCATAGCTCTAGCCTCCAGACATGGTAACACAACTTGGTCCCAGGGCCATGGGCTGCTTGCCTAATCCTGACCAGCTGTCCTATCCATTCATGCCGTTGGTCAAAAGGGCACTATTTGAGAGCCTCTGTGTCAGAGAGACTGTGGGATGGATCAGTGTAAATCCATCACCAATGTTAGAAAAACAGCTCACAGCAGATGTCTTGTTCACTGGTTGAAGGGAGGGGTTGGTCACTTGTCTTGTTACTATTTTTTAATATACTATATCCACCATTCTTATTGTTGCCTCAATTTAATTCTTTCAGAAATCAAACTCTGCAAGTTGAAACTTTTCACTATACCAGGGATATTCAAAAAGTTCCTGGAAAAACTCCATTATCTTTTAGCTCCATTTTTCACAAACTTTTTAAAGCCCTCTTGTGTATTATTGTTGTTCAGCGCCGTCGAGTGGGTCCCAACTCATAGCAACCCTATATATGGGTTTAAATCTTTGCAGGAGTAAAAAGCTTCATCTTTCTTCCATATTATATATTATATTACTTGTTTATCCCTGAAATCTATCCATTAATGTCACTCTTCAATTCAGTAAAGGGCAGCTGCATTTCACTGAGGATAGATCGAGTATGTAAGCAGGGTTTTACTTGGTTCAATTTCGATTTGAAAATCTTAATCATTAACAGCAAATATGCTTGACTAAGGATGGGAAAAATAAGCTCATCAAAACATGTGACTTTAAGTTTTTCCTTATTAGTCAAGGAAATTCCTGGTGCCAATTAATTTCCATGCTTTTGAGCAGCTGTCATTTGTGGTGTTTTCTCTGAAAACTGCACACATTCTTAGTAAAACCCTGGAGTAGAAAAGAACTGACCAGAACATTTGCTTTTGATCTTTACTATGTACATACACTTTTAAAAAGCTGGCAGGCTAACCTTAATCCTTGAGGAGGTCTGAGAAAGTCATTTAGATGGATTTTTATCCTACATTTATAAAGATAATGGGAATGTAGAAACCAGGATAATTATATATATTTGGTTACGTGCATCATATAATTGTCTTGGATGTCTATATATAGAGTTTGTCTTAGCAAGGGACCTTCTTTGGTCCCTTTGAAGAGTCCACTGGACTTAATTTAAGCAGAATTATTGTTTCTCATTTGTATACAGTGTTTTGGGGGACATATTTTGGGTGGGAGTTTTTAGCACTTTATAGAGTTACAGTTTTCCAGGGCCTGTTTGTTCTGGCCTGAGGGAACCAGAGGGAGAGTACTTTTTGTACAAAGGGCCTTATTTTCTATAGCTCCTTCCTGACATCAGTCTGCCCAAACCAGAATCTGTTGACCTGCAGGCCAATCTATCCAGGTTCTCTCTGCAAGGTTACATGCCCAAGCAGGTCGGCTGTATGTTTGGTGCTTTTTGAGATATTTAAAGTGATTTAAACATGCTTAAGTCTGTCTTTTTAAAGTGAGCCTAAGTGCCCTCCAGCCAAATGGTACTGAGCACAAATGAGATGTGATGATAACCGAGCAGCAACAAGACTGCGTTTCTGCTGAAAAACATGCAACCCGTACATGAAAAAAATGTGTGGTTGTTTGTGAAATAGCTTTTGAAAAAATTTCTTCAAGTCTTTTTTTTTTTTTTTCTCTCTCTCTCTTTTTATACTTGGAAATAAAGGCTGCTCTGGTCTAGATGTTTTCCTGGACTTCGTTACTGCTGCCTGCCTTTGAGTTGTGAAGGAGCATTGTGGTCTCCTCCACTGTCAGCAGTTGCGGGGTGGGGGTGAGGGGGTGGGCAGTCTGTTTTTCCCAACTGGGACTTAATTGATTCCACTTGCTTGGCTTAATTCTTTTGGGATCCCAACACCTTGAGCCACAGGGTTTTACAGCTTAGCTGGTCTCTTAGGCCCTGCTGCTTTGTGTACGGTGAAGTAGCCTTTACTTGGGCCTCTAGTAAAGCAAAGCGGCAACAAGAAATTATAGTAGACCCTCAACCATAAACAGGAATAGAGAAACTTCAAGGGTAGGAAGAGCCATCTGAAAAGAACTCTGCCCTGAAACCAGTTGAAACTGGTTATTCTTATGCACAGAGACATCAAAGGATTTCTTGACAAATTAAATGGTTCTTTCCTGGGTCCATGCATTATCAACATGTATACATGATCATAAATCCCATACTTCTGGACTTCTGGAGTGATGTGGTCTAAATTATAATGCATACCATTTTAGTATTATTTTTTGCTAAATGACATTAAGCATTCCCACATGAACTAAAATAAGTAAGCTGAGTATATTAATAATTGTTTTTAAGATAAAATGTTTTAGAAGCTCTCTGCACAGATTTCACTGTATTTTAAATATGACGTGTCATAATTTGTGTGTAGAGACTTCAAACTCCCTTCTCTGATTCTCTGTGTAAGCCTGATTTTTAGATTCCAGTGAGGTACACATTTGTACAACTTGGATGTATGGTAATGCTAAATCAGTTTGTAAGAAGACATATAATACCCAATGTTTTAGCATGGGGATTGTATTTAAAACAAAGCTATAACTACATGTATTTCTATCATTCTTCGAGATTTTTGTGGAGCCCTGTCCTTTTCTGAGTCCTGCCATGGGAGAGATGCTTTCCTTCTATTCTGATTCTGAGAATCATCACTAGTTTGCCTTTAAGTCTTTCTGTTGGCAACTCCATTCCCATACTTCTCTCATTTAGTAAGGTTGGGCTTTCTGGTTTTGTTTCATTTTAATTTTGCTTCCTAACAATGCTAAATCTGTCATATCTGGAGCAGTGGAGTCTACATTTCTTGGATTGAGTAATAGGATGACTACCCCAAGATATGAATGCATTTAAAATGCATCTCCAAAGTATGCCACAGCTATCTTCATGTTGGCCTAATTAGTACCCTGTCATTTTCATTGTGTCCTGGTATTTTCTCAGATGTCTCAGCTCGGGATTGATGAGTGCACCTAATTTCCAGGTCTTGAGAAATACATGAAAGGAGTTCATCATCTTGCTTACCCTCTTTGTTATAACAGTAATAATGTTAATGGAATAATATCCTGGGACCAGATTTATGACCGTTCCTTCAAAATTAACACCTCAGTCTTACTTCTGTCTGTGTTCATAATAAATGCTTTGCTTCACCATTTGTCTTTCAGCAGTTCACAATTGCATGTCATGGGCATAATTAGGTTGGCAGAACTACCTTGCTGACATCCACAGACATTCTTTTCTTTCTCTTCAATTTCAAGAATCCCCTACAAATGATTTCAGAGTGATTTTATTGTGTAGAGCACTGAATGAAGAAGTCATTTACTCTATTGCTTTGCTTCCCAGCTCTACTCGTAGCTTCACCACTGGGCTCACTTGGGAAATTGAAAAGAAAATGGCAGCGGCGGTTGATGACTGGTGACAGATTCTGCTTTGGTCTTTTTCCCCTGGTTCCACACCAGAGTGTCTTGTTCTTTTGTTCATTGATTTATTCCTTCTCTCAATACATTTTTATTAAGCACATATTTTTTAAAATATGCATTTTTATTAAATACATACCAGGTAGTATTCAAGATACTTAGTCTACATGGGTGAACAACACTGACAAGGTGTCTGTTCTCGTGGAACTGGTATTCCAGTCAGGGAGACAGGTCGTAAGCATGAAAACAAATAACAAAGATGTGTGCTGGAAAGAAAATGTAACCGAGTACTAGAGGGACAGGAGGGACAGGCAGCATCACTAGGGGTGGGGAGAGAAAGGATTCTGTAAAGAGGTGACATTTGCAGTGGGACTAAAGAATGGGAAGAAGCCAGCCTTGTGACAGTCAGGTGGAAAAGCAACCCAGAAAGAGGAAGTCCAATCCAAAGGCTCCAAAATGAGAACCGCTGTTAGGTGGGTTAGAAGAGTAGAAAGAAGACCAGCATGCTGAAGGCAATGAGTTTTTAGAAACATTTTCATTCTCCCCATCCTGAAGTGCCCTGTGGGTACTGGAAGGTTCCCTGGTCCCTCAGGCTTGGACCATCCGAATTAGCTGCACAGCCCTATGAAGACAAAATTTTTGAGTGTCATTAAGAAATTTCAGAGGATGAGTTGGGGCCCATCTTTCCAGGCAGCTAGGGGTTGTGGGAAAAAGCCATAAAAGAAGTCAAATCTCTCTTGGGGATCAAAGGTGCCATCCCTTCCCATGCAACTGCTTTCCATGAGCAGAATTCTCCATTACTGGAGGGATCAGAGCACTTGGCACCCAGACTGGCAACTCTTGTAGAGATGGGAGAAACCTAGCATCCCGTCACCACTTTGCTTTCCTCAGTGGCTGCCAATGGATTCCTTGCAAACTTTTTTGACCCATCTATAGGTCACAGGAAGGGATTTATGTTTATATGTTTGTACCTCTTAGTGTTTAAGGTTGTTTTTTTTTTAACCGAATAAAAATAGGATTGATAAATAGCATTAGAGGAAAAATGATCAATTGCTTAAATAGCATCAATACACTTCTAACAGTAGAGAAAGACTATAAAGCTCCCTATTACACATGTCTTGTTTTTAAAAGATTTGATTGTGCAATAAAAGACTTCTGAATGCTTACCCTCATTCCTGACGATTGCATGCACAATTTTCTTAAGTACCTCAATTTGCGAATCAACGGTGTGCATATACATGCCCAAAAATGAACGTAACCAGCTTTTCCTTCTACCCCCTTCTCCAGGGTTAGACTGGGT